AACATTTTAAATATTTATAAAGCCCATAAAACGCGAAATTAACATCCGATCCTACTCGGACTTGATACATCTCAATATTTCCATCAACACAAGATCTGTTATAAAGGTGGTAGAGATCGGGCCATTTCTATTTTTTCTTGCTTTATCTAAATATTTCTCTTAACCAGAAATGTAAATGTATGCATATGTAATATATCGGTATTTATGATTTCACATAAAAGTGCATATAAATTTTCGATTTTCTTCAAATTTGGCACATACCAATATTTTTATCTGCAGTAGATGAAGTAGATGAAATATGAAAATAGAATACTTCGGTCCGCTATATTTGGTGCCTCACGCATATTTCCACATGTTCCAAAATATTGGCTTATATCCCATATAAAGTATATGAAGTAGTCCAAATAAGCCAAAATCTGGCACGTTGTAATATTTATATAAGTCTTAGGTCAGATACGAATTGGCCAATTGCTTCGGAACCTCCCCAAAAAGGGTCAACAGTTTGAATAATCATAACTCAAATCTGTCGGAAAAACCGACTGATACTACTTTACATAGTATGGAGGGTATATTAAGTTCGTAATTTTGTTTGTAACTCATCGAAATAATCATTTTAAATCCAACAAAGTATATATATTCTTGATCAGCGTAAAATTCTAAGACGATTTAGTCCTGTCCGTCCGTCCGTCACACTACAGTCAAAACGAATTGAGATAGGAAGCTATAATTTTGCACAGATCTCTCTATTGTCTGCAGGCAGGTCAAGTTCGAAGATGAGCTATATCGGTCCACGATATCGTATAGCCCCCATATAACGGTAGCCCCCGATATTCGGTATTTTGATGATTTTAGTTACATTTTTCGACGGAATTGTCTGAAATTCCACACAAGGAGGTTCTTGCGAGTACTTTATCCCTTGGAAGATAATTATCCATATAGGTCCACGATATTGTATAGGCCCCATATAACGGTATTTTATTTTTTTCCACATTTTTTCACGGATTTGTCTAAAAATTGATATTTGTTGGTCATAATGAGTTCCAGCGATTTGGTATAACTGTAGTAGGTCCACGATTTGGTATAGCCCCCATATAATGGTACCTCCCGATATTCGGCATTTTAATGGTTTTTGCCACATTTCTTCTAATGTTTCCTTTACCCTAAGTTTTGCATAAACTTATAAGAAGTATGGCTTTAAACCTAAAATGTGTTTATAATGCGTATGAATTCTTGGTGTTTGGGTAATATTCAGGCTTTTGATGTATTCCAGGATTAGTAGAATTTTATCACAAATAATTTATTAGAATATTTTGACTTGCAATGATCCCGTTTAAGGGGAGTTTTTAACCATACTTTGGAGACAAACAAGATCAAGAAGGACTCTTAGGTGACTGGAATAATTTAAAGTAAAGTTTTTGATCAAAATATTACTTTAAAGTTTTGATCAAAATAATACTAACATGTTTATCTTTAATATTCCTGATACACCTAAAATGTTAGCCTTCCAAGAATCTGAATCCGAGAATTTAAAAAAAATAAAAACCAAACCCCACTTTGCGGTGTAAGCTTTAACTAGCAAAAAAAGCTGTAAGTTCGGCCGGGCCGAAATTTGAAAACCCTCCACCATTTGGAACGAATTTGGCAATATTCAAAAAAATAAAATCCGTTAAAAATTCTGTTAAAATCTAAAAAAAATACCAAAAGTAAACGTTATATTAGGGTCTATCCGACGACGTGGACCGGCATAGGTAACTTTTGTCATAAGCCATTACAATATTTAAATGCGAAACTTGAAAAAAATCGGTGAATAATGTAGCTAAAATCACCATTATATGGGGACTATACCAAAACGTATATGGGGGCTATACCAAAACGTGGACCTGCATAGACAATTTTCTGTCATAGGCTGTAGCATCGATTACGAACTTCAAATACCAAATTTGAAACAAATACCAAATATCGGGAGGTACCGTTATATGGGGGCTATACGAAGACATGGACCTGCACAGACAATTCTCGGTTATTAGCTGTAGTATCCACTACGAACATCCAATACCAATTTTGAAACTATTTCGGAGAATAATGTCGATAAAATCATTAAAATACCGAATATCGGGAGGTACCGTTATATGGGAGATATACAAAGACCTGGACCTGCACGGACTATTTTCTGTCTTAGGCTGTAGTATCCATTATGAACATCAAATACTAAATTTGAAACATTTTCAGTGAATAATGTCGCTTAAATCACCAAAATACCGAAAATAGGGAGGTACCATTATATGGGGGATATACCAAAACGTGATCCAATATGGCCCATTTTTCAAGACCAAAAGTCCTGCAGACATTATATATCTGAGTAAAATTTTATTAACCCACTTTATTTCGAGTGATTTCCACAGACGGACGGATATCGACATAGAAATATATGCTAATCAAGAATATTTGTTCTTTGTGGGGTCTAAAATATATATTTCCAGGTGTTACTAAGTCTTCTGATATTAGTTTTTGTGTTGCTCAGTGTTATTTAAGGTGATTTTGAGTTCGACCGTATTGAAGTTAACCAATTTCGTTACGAGATTCATTTATTTATTTATAATTTTTTTTTTATACCCTACACTATGTGTAACACCTCGAAATATTGGTTTCCCATATAGGAAAGTATATATGGATCTTCCTATCTCGCCGAGCTGAGTCGATCTAGCTATGTATGTCCGTCCGTCCGTCTGTCCGTCTGTCCGTCTGTCCATGTTAATTTGTAATCACTCTACAGGTCGCAATTATGGCCCGATCTTTACGAAATTTAGAATGTAGGTGTGGCTTGGACCAGAATAGAACCCTATTGCTTTTGGAGATGATCGCCAAATGTTTAGGGGTTGAAATGGACCAAATACTGAAAAAATGCCGGATTTTGCAGTAGCTATGCAGGTCGCAATTATTGACCAATCGACGCGGAATTTCGCATGTAGCTAGAGTTTAGGGCGTGGAAGAAGCCTACCAATTTGGGTGGTCATCGGATAATATTTAGCGGGTAAAATAAATAGACCATATATTTTGTGTTGAAAAAATTCAAATTTTTTCAATAAACCGCGAATATTTTAAATCCCGGCGAAATCACAAAGCCATGACAAGGATACTTCTGATCTTTACATTGATGTTAACATCCAACAAATCGGATATATAGCAAAATATGTGTGATATATATGTCTATCAAAGAAGATATGCTTGAAAGATCTCTTATATGTCGAGAACGACTGAACTGATTTCGACAGTTCTCATTAATTCAGAATGGCCTCTTGGCAGGAAAGAAAAAACGTCTAAAAAAATCGCATAAAAATATCTCTCTAAAGATGAAAATATTGATTTTGTAAAATTTTCTCATATTTTTTCAATTTTATCATATTTTTGGCATATTTTAATTTTGAATCAAACATTTGGTAATGTTTCTACAACTAACAAAACTAAGTAGTTAGGATATCAGGATATCATATACAGATCGCATTTATGGCCCGATCGTTACGAAATTTTGCATGGGGATAAGATGAGGGTCAGAATAGAAGCCTACTCTTTTTGGAGATGGTCGCCATATATTTAGGGGTTGAAATGGACCAAAAAACTGCAAAATTGTCGGCACTGCAAAATCGCCCGATCTTTACGCACATTTGAATGGGGGTTACCGCACATTGCAAAAGCCAAGCAGTTTCGGATGGCCATCCAAAAATATTTAATGTGTGGTATAGTTTGCCAACTTTTGTTGACAAAATACGAATATGTCCATTCCAGTGACTTTTTGGAGAATTCACAAATCCTCACGAACATTTTCAAAAGGGTGGGGTTGGGCTCAGAAGGGCTAGGGCATTGATTTCAAAGATGTAAGCAATATATTAGGGGTTGAAATGGACCAACAACTAAAAAGGACACGAAATCTCGCATAAAGTTAGAGTTTAGGACAGTGGGTAGAATGGACCACTAATTTTGTGTGAAAAAAATAGCAGCATTACTTACAGGCGATATCCGAAATACACAAAAGACGAACTTCCGGCTTTTTTATGCTGATTTCGTTGACGAATATAGCCAAATATCGTAGACAAGCAAATCATATAGATGAGTCTGAACTTGGAGATACAGACGGGCTTTTTGCTTTTGGAGATGATTGCAAAATACTTAGGGGTTCAAACTAACCAAAAACAGAAATGTTTTTCCGATCACACAATTGAAGCCAATCGACACCCCTGTGAAGAGAGTTAAGGACAGGGAAGAATTCCAGCATTTTGGATATCCATTGGATTATATTTAGCTATAAAATGGACCACAACAACTAACAGCCCGAAGGAGTGCATAAATATATTTGCCCAATATGTCCCTAGTCAAAATCCTAATTTCAAAAGCGAAATCTTCCAATATGGATTTGGACATAATGGGGCTTCTAACATATTGTAGTGTTGTAGGGTATCACATGGTCGGCCCCGCACGACTATAGCCTTTGCTTACTTGTTCTTTTTTGCTTTTGAAAAATTTTGCTTTTTAGGGTAACTTTTCTTTGAAAAAGTGTGTTTTACTGCTTATGTAACTTGTTTTTTTTAATAGGAGAAGGAAGTGCTTTCGAATACGTCTAAGGAAATATTTGAACTCTTAGATTTTCCGTAGAACCTGTAATAAAGTATCCGCCAAATACCTTGTTTTTGTGGTAAGCGTCGGCTTTGTTTCTATAGAAACCAAGTTTTGCCAATATCCTCTTTTTCATTTTCGCAGAGAAGTGGCCCAATTATGCCTCTGGACCAAATTTTCTTGGAAAACATTTTTGTTGTTGTTCGAACTTTGCACCAAACAGTGACTCGTTTTGGGTGCATCGGCTTTTCAATGTATGCATGCTGGTTTTTTGCAACAATTGTGCTTGTGTTCATACGATGCTTCTCTTCTTTCAAATAAGACAGGAGCTAAGATTTACCATTTACGACTTATATTTACGGCACTATTTGAAAAACGTTAGATTTTATTCCTTAAATTTAAAATCGTTGGATTTTATTTCCGACATCATTTTGCATTCATTCTTATATTTCAAAAGCATCATCAGCTGATCTCAGCAATGCATTATATCGCGTCACATCGAGACCTTTTCGTAGTTTTCTGAAGAACATATAGACTGGGTAATCGATGATCAGAAGGAAACCTATTTGGAAAATCAATCGGAAAATATTTCAATTCCAATCTTTTATTACAAATAGCGATTTCTTACCCAGAACGACCAGGGCATCGAGCATGTTTGTAATGGTGCCATCGTGGGTTACATTTCCCTCGAAAATATCTTCAGTACACGAGTAGACTGTCCAACATATCAAAGACAATAGAACAAATGTGTTCGATAGAAACCAGGGCACCATAAGACGAGCATTTTGCTTTTTTGAAGAAAAACAATCAAACACACACACAATTGAAATTGTTCTTTACTTCAGTTTTCTTACCACAGCAATTCCAATTAACATGAGCACTGATGCAACTAACATTACAACGCTAATTGTCAAAATGCCGATTGTTGTGGTCATATCCATTTCAGAGAGTAGACGTAGGAATTTCTCAATGTCTTTTTCAACAACATCACCTAAAAGTAAAAAATATTTAAAAAATATATTATTTGGATACAAACAGTCGAACACAGCTATAGCGAATTAAGGCGGTCATTACCAACATAACCTGAAAACTGATTCTCAATTCGATATGAAACAGAATGTTTAGAAAATTGAATTTTCATCAAGACAAAGTAGATATGAAATTTGCCAGAATTATGTCCCCGCGTACACTCCATTTTTACAAAAAATCATAAATGAAATGTATAAAATGATTTTATATTATCACATGTTCATATTAAACATTATTGGCTATAAACATGTCTTTTTTCAACACCAACCTATTATTCGGTACATTGACTTTCCTTCAACAACTTCATATTTTTGTACCTCTGGTCTGTCCTCGATTACCAATAGATGACGACTCAGCAAAATGCAGCTGACAACACTGACAATCAAATAAAGATATCCCACCAAAATGCTTAGTGTCCTCTGACTTAGACAGCCCATGTTGAATTCGATTTGTCGGCAAAAAGAAAAAAACTTTTATTTTTCTATTAAAAAAAATAAACCAAATAGAACAGAAAGCTTTCGATTACTTAAATAAACTAAAACCTCAACAAAGGAGAAGAAATTTTCCAAAATCCCACAGCAAATACTAATTATCAACAAACAAGCGATAAGCTTGCTCGGGCCGAATTAAATGTGCTCTCCACTACGTTTGTATAAATCTTTTCTATTTTTAATTATTAAATCTTATAAAAAAAAATGAAATTAATGTTTGTTGGTATTCTTACCACTCTAGAACGGCTGGACTGATTTTGACAGACCCTTGGCAGACCTTTAAGAAATCGCACTAAAAAGCGAAAAATATATATATTTGTTATATTTTGTGACATATTTTATACCCACCACCATACATAGTATGGAGAGCATATTAAGTTCTCCATTCCGTTTGTAACCCAGGGGTGCAGGGTGAGATGAAAAAACTGCAACAAAGTCAAAAGCCATCATTTTTACATTTTATTTTAATTTTATTGAATGAAAGCAAAAAATATCGGAAATAGCATCAAATTTTGGAATAAGATTAGATTTGTTCGAATTGGTCACATTTGGCACGAATTATGGCCTTCAAACGACCAATGAAACCGTCACACCCTGCCCGAATGTTGCTCTACGGTATTTTGGCCCATTCCCGGCGAAGCGCTTGCTTGAGGTGATCGACACTTTGGTATTTTTTAGTGCCAACTTTGCTTTCCAAAATACTCAAGACACAATAGTCCAACGGATTGGTATCCGGAGATATTGGTGGCCATTGTGCGCCTCATTTTGTAACCATTCTTAGGTGGCGAGTTCTAAGTGCGATCCTGTTAACCAGGGTCTGCGGCCAAAATGTTTGCGTCCCCAAGGCTTTAATACATACCCTCCAGAATATTCTCACGGTAATATTCGTCATTTATTCTGATGCCACGGTCGATTAATACGAGCGGAGAGCGACCATCGGCTGTTATGGCGGCCCTCACTATAACCATGGCCGGCGATTAAGTTCTGGTGGCCAACCGAAGGTGCACATTTTCAGCTGACTTTTTTGGCAAGTAAACACGATCATTTTGTTTGTTTACAAACTGCTGGACAACCAAATTCGGCAGTTCACCACTTTCGACCAAGCGAAGAAAATCTTTAGCTCTTTTGAGTCTATTTTCTTTCTGTTGTTTCGGTGTATGTTCTTGCACTTTTTGGAATTTCAATAGCTTTACCCCGAGCTTATTTTTCATTATTTGCCGAATGGAATATTGCGATCATGGTACAATGAAGAGAAGGTAGGCCAACTTTAAAAAAATTGGAAGAATAGAGGTCTACCTGTTTGGCTTGTAATGTCAGAATTAGTATCAAAACAATAAAAAATCTAACAACTTGTTGCATTTATTTTGAATAAATAATTGAAAACCGCGAAAACTGAATAAAAGGTCAACATTTCTTTTCAAAATCATGTTCTATATATCTCTAAAGGTTTATTTCGCTACAAAAACTGTAGATATTGTCGATGCATACGTCGAAATAAACATCTTGAAAACATCCGAATTTGAATATTTTCTGAACTATTTTTTTGATATTGAAAAGAAAACACATACATAAACAAATATAGTTGACATATTAAGCCAAGAAAATGAAAAAATTAAAATCATATGGGATCATAGCCCTACCTTGATATCATTGTACCATAATTGCGATATGTTCTGCTTACAAGCCATTTTTCGGCCACTGCGACGCGGTTTTCGATCAAGTCCCTTCTTTACTTTTCGAACCATTTCTGATGAAGTTGCTGTTTTTCCGTCCACTTCCTCGACGTCGGGCTACGCTACCAGTACCACGGTAACGAGCGATGGCACGAGAAACAAAAGATTTATTCAAATTTAAATGCTGCAGTGCTCTAACGATAGCCATTTGTGGTTCTCCAGCCAAATATAAAGAAATCACACTAACACGCTTGAATTCCATCACGAATAACTTTTTTTCTGGAAAATTTTCACGAAGATGCTTTTGTACGCTTGTAGATAATACAATGAGCTGTCACTGGAATAATTTTGTATATTCTTGATCAGCGTAAAATTCTAAGACCATTTAGTCCTGGCCGTTCGTCCGTCCGTCTGTTATAATCACGCTGGAGTCAAAGCGAATTAAGATAAGAAGCTACTGAGTACTTTACCCCTTGGAAGAGAATTGTCCACACATGTCCACGATATCGTATATCCCCTTAATAACCGTAATGGATACTACAGCCGATGACAAAAAATTACTTATGCAGAATCAAGTCTTCGTATAGGTCTCATATAACGAGTTTACTTTGAGCGGTTTTTTGGGACGAATTTTTTTGGAAATTTTGCTTCAAAATGATGGAGAGTATAACAAATGGTGGAGAGTATAACCTTACCACATAGTGGTAAGGGTATTATGTCTTTGTGCATTTGTTTGTAACATGGAAAAGGAAGCGAGATAGATCAATAGTTACTTTTGAGGATTTCCACAGAATCACTTTCTGAGTTGATTTATGCATGTCAGTCCGTCCATCTGTCCATGTATTCTTGTGAACAAAATGCAGGTCGCATTTATTATCCTATCCAGTTGAAATTTTGCACATATCATTTTATTGGCCCAAGGACGAACCCTATTGAAATTGGCGATAATCGGTAAAAATTTATATATAGCTCCCATATATATCTTCGTCCGATTTGCCTTTTATTGTGCACCAAACGTGTAATATCAGCCCGAATAGTATGGAATTTTGCACATACAACCAAATTAGGCCTGAGAATAAGTATGCCAAATTTGATCAAAATCGGTTCAGATATAGCTATAGCTCCCATATATATGTTTCATCCGATTTGTTATTTTTGTCCTCCGCAGCCATAATATGCACTCTGTAACAACAATATTTGGGAAAATATATCAAATATAGCTCAGAAATACCTTTGCTAAATTTTATCGATATAGGTTCAGATTTGGATGTAGCTCCCATATATAACTTCGTCCGATTTACCGTTTATTGTGCACCAAACGACTAATATTTGCCCAAATGGGATGAAATTTAGCACGTACGACCGAATTGAGTCCAGAAGCTAGTATGTCAAATTTGGTAAATATCGGTTAAGATATAGCTATAGCTCCCATACATATTGTTCATCCGATTTCTAGTATTTGTTACCCACAGAAGTAATATGCACTCCGTAACAACGATATTTCAGGAAATATATCATATACAGCTCAGAAATATATTTGCAAAATTTTTTCGAGATCGGTTCAGATTTGCATATAGCTTCCATATATATCTTTATCTGATTTTAAATTAATTTTGCACCAAATGGGCTACACAAGTCCGAATTTAAAAGATACAAATGCTTCTGCATATTTGGTTCTTTGAACTTTAAATTATAATTATAATCATAGCGTGTATGATTGAATTCTCCGATAAAAACGTTTAATTGTTACGTGGAGCTCTACTAAATTAGCAAAGTGGTGTAGGGTATCATAAAGTCGGCCCCGCCGACTTTAGGACTTTCTTTACTGGTTTTTACTTGTTAAACTTATTCTTTCTTGTAAGAAACAAAAAAAAAAACAAAATAAACCCAAGCTCCTATTGTTTATATGCATAGAATCTAATATTCTGAGTGGAATTCTGCATTCCACTCTGTCCGTACTTGAGACGAAATTTTACGCGGGACAAACTTGGTGCGTAGATATGTGATTAGGTTTGGTTTTTTAGAAATTCGTACAAAAAGGGTACAATTAGTACTAAAATGTACTAAAAATTTAATAATTTGTACGGAATGAGCTATTCTTCTGAAATTTGAAATGAGATTCACTGATGGAGTGCATGACAGATGTATCATAGGTGTTTTAGAAATTCGAATTTTAAGGTTAATAAAAGTTCCGAAATGGTACTTAATTTCCAAATATGGTATCATTTGGTATTATGTGAACGGTTAGAGCGAAAAGCTTAAAATTTTGGTGAGAATCAAGGTTGGAAAGTAAGTTTGAGGTATGAAGGTGGTTCTGGAAATATCCTCTAAGTGTGCCGACTATACTAAATCGTGCTTGATTTGGAACAATGTAGTTTAGGGTGATCGGATGAAGCTGGAATTTGGAATTTTGAAATTGAAATTTTGGCGTCCCTGTTGGTGGCTAGTTTTTGATAGAGAGGTGGTTTTGGAAATTTGTACTACAAGTGCACGAAAATCACTAAATAGAAATATACATTTTGGTATTGGTGATCATATAGTGCTTGAAATCTAAAATTTGGTATTTAGGTCCTTGTTCAGGTGTAGCTTGGAAATATGGAGGTGGTTTTGGAAATGTGAACTAACATTGTACAAAAAGTACTTGATAGAAGAGATAGAGATAATGTTTTCAAAATTTATATTTAGATTACTGATAACATCTGTGTTTAAGATTTGGTAGTGGTTTGGAAATACATCCCATATTAGTACGAGGTACTAGAATAGTGGTCAATCTGAACATATTGTACATTTTGGGTACTTTATATACAGGGTGAGATGAAAAACTGCAAGTAACTTCAGACTGCTGTCATTTCTAAGCTACTCGTCCGATAGCTGTTAAAATTATTCCAGTGACAGCTCATAATATTGTTTACAAGCGTACAAAAGCATTTTGAAGAGAATTTCCCGAAAAAAAGTTATTCGTGATGAAATTCAAGCGTGATAGTGTGATTTTCCCGTGTGATTTTCCCGCGTCGCAGTGGCTGAAAATGGCCCGTGAGCTGAACATATCGCAATACACAATTCTGCAAATATTGACAAATGAGCTCGGTGTAAAGCCATTGAAATTCCAAAAGGTGCAAGAACTTACACCGCAACAGAAAATAGACTCAAACAAGTAAGCAAAGGCTATAGTCGGGCGGAGCCGACCATGTGATACCCTACAACACTACAACATGTTAGAGGCCCTCTTATGTCCAAATCCATTTTGGAAGATTTCGCTTTTGAAATTATGTCACGGAGCACTGCCATTTTGACCAGTGACATTTGCCCTATATTTACGAACTCCGTTGTGCTCTTTGTTGTTGGGCCATTTTACAGCTAAATATA